TTTCCACAAATTTTAGTGGAAAGTAAATTTTATAAAACAGTGTCTGCAATGTCATCGTTTCAAATTTGTATCTTTATGGACGTATTTGAAATTAGATTATACATAATGGGCCAAAAATTGATTAAACGAAATGTTGCAGCTGGAAACACGTAAATACCCATTGTGTTTAACACTTTCGTATAGCGTAACGATGATAAAATATTAAAATATATAACAACCTGTTAATTTATTGTCGCGGTAATGATACTAAATGTGCGTTCTCGTCGATGATTTCATTTCGGATTAACATGAAGTTATTCGAAGCAATTATTTGCATGACACTACACTGCTAGAGCTAATAGATAATAATATTTTAATCATTTTTAAAGTAACGATGCAAGGGAGTAGGTCTACTACAAATTTCCAAAAATTCTATTGCAAAAGAATAGAAGGTTAAAAAACTTTTTAACCTGCTTGACTAATAAAATAAAATTTTTATACAAACATGGTGTCAATCGTTCAATCAGTGTTTTGCAATAAAAATTATACTGTTGTTTCGTCATCTAAAGCTACTCAATACTACTGTGGATCCTAGAATTGCTGTTATTTTATTGTCAAAAAAATAAATAATAAAAAAATAAAATAGTATTAATTAAAAATTAAAAAATCTTGATTTAACTTTATAGTAAAGACGGTCCTCGAAATTAGTCCTCGCCTTCTTGTTCGAAAATGCGAAGGCTGGATAGACACGCGATGCTTTATAAGACGAGTTCGCAGCCCTCTCTTTCTAGAATTCGGATCGGACAACATTCCGCTCGAATTCAGCTCGCTATATTCGACCAACTTTCGACGTATGCTCGGTCTTTACCACGAATCCTCGGGACGTGTTACCAACGAGCTGATTGATAGCAAAAGAGAAAGAGAGAAAGAGAGAGAGAAAAAAAAGGAAGAAGAAATATGAAAGAACTCAACCGCGCATGAGAAATTCCTCAAAGAATCGAAAACGTGCGCGCGCACGCCACAGAGATTCGGGTTTCAATATCGGCACTGTTCACCGTAAACTCAAGACTCCCCTGGACTATTCGCTCACATTGGCAAATAGAAGTTCGTTTCGACTTCTCGCATAAAAGATCGTTGATAAACAGTGGCGTCGATCGATTCCACGGAGAATGAAGGAAAAATTGCGACGACCCTTGGTACTTGGTGGATGATAGTTTCGAAACTACTTCCCTTGGAATTACAGAGTAGATGTACAGGAGGGCCGAAGTTTAGTAATATTAATTTACCGTGAAAGGTTTTTGTCATAGTTCGAAACAACGGAAGGGTGGCGAAGAGTACAATATTTAATTAAATAGTGGGTGATATATTATATAGAATGAAATATAATAAAAATATAATTAAATGTGGATGGTTTAATGAGACAGATGATATCTCATGGTTATTAAACACTTCTGAGATGTGAAATGTATATTCTATGAATGCAGAAATAATTCTCTAGCAACCTTTCAGATCATTTCAGTTCATTTTCACTGTGTGTCGTTGTTTACTAAAAATTTAACGTAATATTATGATATTGAACTTGGACGCGTTATATAGTGTTTCAGAGAGCTGAAAATTAATTTTGAGTGGATACGTTAAATCCCTGGTTCATTTATTGCATCATCGGTTAAGATCGGCTTGCTGACTAATTAGCTCAGGGACTGGATGAATTAATTAACTGACTGGTTAAAGTCAAGTCACTCAGAACTATCCAACTGAATTCGATACATTGAAACGCTTGATTGACTGAACTAGGTTCATTAGCGTCAGATAATTACATTTCACTTGTTCATATATCACATAATTTATTAACTAGACCGACCGAAATACTCTGATTTCCTGATCTCCATTCCTTGGCGTAATTTATAATTTATCTACGTATCTGCGAATAACTCACAAGTTTCGTTTGACATTTATGCGTTTGTATATTTAATTATAGTGTATTCTTTAAATTGTCACTGATTTAATTTAAACATAGCTATCGATAAAAAGTAGAAGTATAAATTTATTTACTCCAGTTTGAAGAATGTCAGTGAAAGCACAATTTCAATCAGAATTTATTTATAATCGAAGTCACGAAGATGTGAATCGTTGAAATGTAATTCATATTTACTCAGCATACGGATACTTTTTCAAAAATACGTATCAAATAATTTCCATTTATACGTTTACCAGACTAATAGTGACAACAACAATAAAAAGAACTACGTAGTTATTAACATCGAGGAAAAAAGCACATATTTGTTCCAACATTTTTATTGCTTTTGCATATCGCATTTATCTTTTAACATACGCTCGTATTTCAAGCAAACAAACCGCGTTATTACAAAAGTTATTGAATCATCGTTAAACAAAGCAACAGTAACCAAAGCAAATACATCGTGCAATTCGTCGATTGTTTTCTTTTTGTGTTCAGTTTTTTAAAGTAATTCCTTAATCGCGATTCTTTTTTTACGATACAGTTCCGAGCTTGATGTAACTTAAAATGCAATTCTAACGAATTACGAAACTTATTTGAAAAGCACGACTATGAAAAAAATCAGGTTAATCCGCGGGAAATGGGAAACAAGCGCGTCGATTCGCGCGCCTTCTCCGTTATTTACTGTCTTCCGGGAGAAACTTCGGCCTTTCTTTGGTCGCCGTGTATTCGTTCGCGCGAAACTCCGCACCAATATTTACGCACGCAACATTCAGCTGGTTTCGAAGTTTCGCTTCTATCAACTTTCCGGATTTCAAGTTTTAACTAAACTTGTGCAATGAATAAATTGACCCGCGACTATCGCGCTCTTACGAAATAATGAACGCATCGAGAGCTATTATATCGACCATCGTAATCGAGATTGCAATTCTTTTTCCGTAATCAAGGAGAGAAAAGCAGGGAGGAAATAAACAACGAACTTGAGCGCCAAATATTTACCGATTAATGCAACATTTTTCGCGTATATAGACGCAGAATACGAAACTTTCAATTAGTTTTTGTCAATATTTGAATATAATCTGCGCTTTGTAGAGTGCACGAACTGTTGATATTTATTTATGAAAAAAAAAAGAATTAGAAAAGTAATACAAGATATTAGACAACGTCACACGTGTAAAGTTCATTCTAAATATCCGCGATTGTACGCAAATTTACCTCCAGACGCGCAAAAGTATTCGTAGCACGCAAATACCTACACGCGCGCAACGGCGTTTAAACTGTCTGGCATTCGAGCAGGGTGGGACAAAAAAAAAAAAAAAAAAAAAAAAAAAAAAAAAAGAAAAAAGGCAGGGAGGAAGGAAAGATCGCCGTGAATTCGAGAAACGCGTTAACGTACTTGCGATTCTGCGGTGTGCACTGATTAACCCGAAAGGCACTCCTTTGATCTCGAGCCGCGGCGTGCTCGAGGAAATTAGAAACACTCGGTGAATTTACGCGAGAGCCAGTTTCACGGCGTAATAGAGCAGCCAGACGGCTGTGCGCGAAATCGTTCGCGACAACGAAGGTCGATTCACCCGGGGGTTCGCGGAGGGTGCGACCGACTCAGCTCGGATCAAACGCGAGCTGAGTTAATGACGCCATCAAGGAGAAACTTTCTCTGCGCGGTGTACGCACGCTGTCACGGAAATTCGTGCAGATTCAGACCTCGCCGGAGAGAGAGAGGAAGAGAGAGACAGACAGAGAGAGAAATGCACGTTGACGTACATACAGCGCGCTGTTAGGGGGAAATGCAAATCTACAGGATGCTCCTTAATCCTACGTGTCACCCTCCTGTGTCTCGTTTGACTTCGCGCGAGATTTCCCGTGTTCCTTGGCCCAAGAATTTTCACGCGACGCGGTTTTTAAACCACGCGAGATACTTTCTTCCTCGCATTTTCAAACAGAGCATTCGAGAACTGTTGAAGCTAGATTTTTGAATAGATGATAATTTTTGTCGAATTTTTGCTCAACAGACTTTTTCAGAATTGGTTCTGTACATTAAAAGAATCGTCACGATTATTATCACGGTACTAAAGTTTGTATTTTCCTCTTCTTAAATCTTCCAATTTTTGTTCCGCTTGTTCGAAAGATTGAAACAGTTTAAAAGTAGAAATTCTTAGGTAACGGAAACGAGAGACGATGTTAACAATTTAGAATAAAGTACAGGAATGGGAAGTAGGTTGCATTTTTTGAAATCGTTGGCAATAGAGGTACAACTTTGTTTTGTATGTAGAACTCGCTTGAAGTCTGTTTCGTATACAAGGTTATTCTAGAAGGCAAACCGAGCTATAGATCTTGGTACACGAAGGTGGAAAGAATTGGAAAATGTTGGTAAGGAAATATAAAGAAACGTCGGATTGTATACTAAATTTCAGCCATCCTGCGTTTTTTAAGGACATGTGCGAATGCATGTAGAAAGTGCAGCTCTATTGTTTCCCAAGGTAAAACCGTGTATTTTTTTTTATTTACGTCGCGCGTAACAAAGAGGAATTTAAAGCCTCAAGTTTATTCGTGAAATAAGTAAAAAAATCACGTTTGGGAAATGTACCCCCAAAAAATCTGTTCTAAGCCAATTTCCAATCTAGGTAAAATTTAAAAACTATGCGCTCCGACTTCGAGCATCGACGTTAAAGTTACGTGTCGAGATTATCAAAGAAAAAGGAAAAAGGGAAATTCCATTCAAAGAGGAAATTGATACACCGACGATGTACGAACTGACGAAGAGATCTCTGTCCAATAAAATTCGACAGATATAAAACAGGAAAGAAGAGAAAGAAAAAGATGAGAAAAGAGAGGAATCCGAAAATCCGAGACGAAATAGGTGAAACAACCTCTAGCTGTAGGGGTTGAGCACGGTGACTTACGATGCGGCGGCACACGCGCGAGTCGCGTGCATCGGGAGGGAAAGGAGCGTAGGCGAGGGTGGTGAGCAACGAGCGTCGTCGCTGGGTGGGTAGGCACACGAGCACGTTGAATGCGTCGAGTTGGCCGCGATACTCTGTAATGTCGTGAAGCGTGTACTTACACACTACCGTGAGATTCTTGGAGACGTAGGCCGTGGAGAAAGTCGGCGCGTCCGCTGTAACTTCGCAGCTGAACGTACCCGAGAGGGCGAAGTCGACGTCGCGCAGCGTTACCTGGCTCTTGTTCGAGTTCCCGTCCTGAAACAGAGCAACCAGACCAGACGTGTGTACGTGTGTGTATGTGCAAAGTGAATGCAAATGGATATCAACGGCGGTGGCGGCAACGCGCGTTATCACGTACCGCCATCGGGACGTTAGGAACCCTCGCTACCCGTGATTAACGATAACTCGATTCACCTGGACCGGTTATAATTCGAATTAAATTTCCGCACCGGATACCATCGACCGAGGCAAATTTATTCGCGCGTCTCTTTATCGTTCACACGGGATTCCAGCGGACGCATGGTTCATTGCCTTCTTTTCGCGGTCTATCCGGATGAAAAAAGCGTCGATGAACACTTTATAATCGGTCAATTAACCTTAACGTTAAATCGATGCGCTTCCGTGTTTTTTTCTTTTTTCTTTGTCTTTTTTTTTTCATTTCCGTATGCAAGTATTTTTTCTATTTTCTTTCTTTTTTTTTTAACAATTGCACAAAGTTATTTTCACGGATCAGAAATTTTTATTTGCGAGTAGACTTTATCGCGATTTATAAATTTATTCCGCAATGCATTTCATTTTCGGCTCGATGAATGATAGAACAGTTCAACTCAACAATAGAAGGATGAACGAGGAACGATGATATAGTTAGAATAATTATCAAGATCGTATAAGACTTGCAGTTTGACGTAATAATAGAGGCGAAATATCATGAGAGGGGAATGGATTGACCTCGAATGTTTTGCGGTCTATCTTATTGAAGAACATTTGAAATTCGACTTTGCGAGTGTACACATCAATTCAAGAGATCTTCCATAGCACTGTTGAACGTTTCAGGTTATGCAACACCATATATCATACCTGTCAGGCATAAATTAAATATTGGATTTTCAACGATTTTCCTTTCAAATTTTTCCCCGGCAAATCATTAATTTTCTACTTCTGTGAATTATGTATGAAAACAATTCTAAGTATAGAGTCGAACGGGAATAATTCACATTCCCTTGGAAATAATTCGTAGAAAGAAAATTTAAAAAGAATAATATAATTAATATAATTAAAAAATATATAACTAAAAAGATTTAGTTCTAGAAAATTTTATTTTTAAGTTACACTATACTATAATTAATGATAATAAACACACGTAATTACGTTTCACAGTATTGTTTCCAATTAACAACTAAACCTGGTATATATGTCTATTAATAGTGCATCGATCGCTAATCTGACTTTGCAAATTTCAATATTATTCAAACAATAACGCTCCGAATAATAACTATTCGACAAACTGACAGTAGGATAAACGACATGAATCATTATTACACGGAGTAATCTAATTAGAACGATTTTTTACTCGGCGATAATCCCTACACGAATAAGCACGTATCCATCGACTATTAATACGTAAATTAGTATTAACGATTCTACCCCAAAATGGTAGTTGTTATTGGACGATCGAAATTCTCAAACAAAAGCGTGTTATTTAAAGCCAGCCGCAAGCTCGATGAGAATTCAATTTGCTCGTTAAAATTTACGTGCCGAATTAACAGTTTTGATGACGTTACTTAATCGGCAAACAATCGTTTCGTTCTCAATTTCTTAATACACGGGCTGTTTCCGTGTTTCTATTTCATCGAATTGAAAATTATCGAACCTCAGTCTTAATTTTCTGAAATTAAATCCGTACCGTGTTTCATTCGATTAAAACCCGAACGTATAAACAACCTGGTTGCGTCCTTTTGCGTAACGAACGAAAGCTGAAAACATTTTTGCAGTCTTCGTTGTGAAAATGAGAATTTCTTTTTCCATGAATGTCTAAAAAATGTGCATCTAACGCAGAATGTGAGAAAATAATATAGGTCTTAAACAATACAGATTAATTATTAGTATTATTACTTGGTGTGTTTATGGATTCCCTTGATGCATTTCCTTCATCTGGTTGAAATCCAAGCAAGAAGCACTTAAATTATAATTAACGTTGATGTGGAAAATGAAACTTGGAAACACTTCGATTTTAATAATTTCACACATTGCAAGAATCTGTGTAAGTTAAGCTGACAACAGACCTAAAAATCGAATGTCGCAATTTCTTCCGGTGGCAAGAAAGAATTCGTGTATCGTAATAAATGGAATTTTGGATTTACGCTAGAAATTTTCACCTAAGCTTTTACGAACGTCACGGTAGAAGGCAGTTACTTTAGACATTCGTGGAAAAAGAAATTCTCATTTTCACAACGAAGACTGAGAAAATGTTTTCAGCTTTCGTTCGTTACGCAAAATGACGCAATCAGGTTGTTTATACGTTCGGATTTTAATCGAATGAAACTCGGGGTTTCATACCTGTTAGTCGAAGATCCAACAAATTCGATATTAAACGTAAACTTCTCGTATGTTTCATTTTTGCATATAAAATTTTACGACAGCAATTCCCTGATACTACAAATTTTCCTCGATAGTGCGATAATCGATATCGCAGCTCCACGCGTCAAACATAGATACAAGCACCGAATTTGTTACCTCTGGAGACATCTGTCACATCTTAATTCATTAGATATTGATCCTTAACTGAAACTGAAATAGGAGTACAACTCTTTGGTAGACTATATATACTATGATGAATAATTTAAATAAGATATATTGTATAAATAATTTAAATCTGATATACTATAGTATTATTCTATATTATTCATCATACTATATTTATTATAACACTATATAATAAAGTATTATATAATATATTACTATACTATAGTATTACATACTATAATAAATATTTAAATTGATTAAATAAATATTTGAATGAATGAATAATCTGAATTTATAAATGATGATTACACGATTCAATTGTGACATAATTAACATCGAGTACAGACTGAAATACAGATTATGCGATTATACAGATTTACTTGTGAAACGTTTAAACATGCAAAACGCTTATGAAACATTTACACGTAAACGCTCGCTGTAACAAATACTTAAATAATCATTACATCGCGATTACATAGTTTCCTGTTCCCGAAGAAACTATTTACTATTAAAATTTATTCTTCAGCCTCCTCGGTGGAAACGTGAAGCCGCAAACGAAAGGTTCACACAGCGATGCGGAAGAGTAGGAAACAAAAAAAAAAAAGAAACGTTGTCAGAAAAGCCGAGAAATAGTCGCGAGTCGCGTATTCGTCGTGCTCTTACACACGGCGAGTGGCATGTAGATACTCGTCAAAGGTCGTAACGCGACAAAAGGACGTTTTTTTTTTTTTTTTTTTTTTGCTAAATGTTCCCCCGGGTGACCAGGCGACGCCAAGTGGCGGCACTCGAGGAAAATCGTCATCTTATCAGGAATTACCCTGCACTCGAGTAAATTGGCTCGATGAAGCGCGCTCGCGAAGGCCGGGACACACCGTGAGCGAGATAGCGACGCAGACGGGGTTGATACATCCCCGAGAGAAAAGTGGCGGAGGATCGTTTCGTCGGGAACCGGCAAAGGCAAAATATGCATAATTAGCGAGATTTAAATAACGAAGCAAGAAAATATATCCTATAGAGAGATGGGAAGAGAGAGAGAGAGAGGGGCCGGGGGGCAACGATCGAAAGAGGAAGAGACGAAAAGGTGGCTTTTAACGAGGACGAAAGAAACGAGCCCGAAGAAAGAGCCAGCTTTTTCCACCGTCGTTCGTTGATTTATGTGTGTTAGAATGCACACGATGGATGCTAAATGAAGATCCAACGGACGCCGCGCGAAGGAAGGGGGGGAGAGAAAGCTGTTCATTACGGAATTTCGTGCTTTTTCGTCGTGTTATTAAGCTGCTATTAACGATCGAATATTTTTAACGCAGGCACGTTGCTTGGAGAATTTTCAAAGGAATTTCGCAAGATAGATCACGATTGAAATTTTTGTCAGAACTTCTTCTTTTTTTTTTTAGATTGAAATTGATAGAATCCTTGTTTATAAGAGAGGGTCGGATTCAGACGAAGGATAGTTTGATCAGCGTGAACTTGATATAAATATTGTATATTTGAATCGAAGTTCTCGTTAGTCAGGTCTCTTTTTAGGTCTATTTATTTCGTGTGAATTTATAAACGAGTTAAACAATGTGGGAAAGTGCCAGAATCGTAAAATTTATTGCTTCGCTTCTCTTTTATTAAAACGAGAATTCTACAGGAAAGTATGACTTCTTTATTGTCCAAATCTTCAGCGTGGTTTCCATTTACATATACCACGAAGCGATAAAATGTTCCGAAGGATATTTAGATGTCTAAATTTCGAAAAGGAAAGAAATCTCAAACAGCGATTTTCAGCCCAAAACAATCGAATTGTTAATAATATTCTTTCTCGAATTGGCGTCCAGCATTTAAGAGCTTTCTACGCGAAACAGAGTGACTGCAACTTAATAAGTTGCAAGTCGTTTGCAAAATGTAATCTTCCTGCACGTCTACAAATATCGGGACGAAAACGTTTCATCGCTCGACTCAGCCTGTTTGTCAGGGAAAGCCTCGCATTCAATACTCACGATACATTTAAAACATCTAAAAAAACAATTTCGCCAGAACGTAACAAAACCATTATGCGACTCCGTATAACAAAGAACGAAAGAGCGCGAATAAAACAAATACACGGACACAATGGACCACACGCCGCTCGCTATATCAATGCTCGCAACCTTCGCAGAAGAGAAAAATGGTTATCCATCTACGGGTGAAAAAGGAGAAAAGAGAAAAGAAAAAGTCCCCCCCTCCCCTCAAAAAAAAAAAATGAAACAAAGCAAAAGCTTTCGGAGCGACGGACAACATACAACGTGTAAGTAACAAAGTTGAAATTTGCTGATGCCGTTAAAATGAACGATATCCCACGACGGGTGTATCGAACGGTACAACCTAACGATATTTCTTTCGCGTTGTACAATGTTTTTCGTTTACTGTCGACGAGCTTTTACCGACACGTGACGCGACCATCGCGCATTACTCTCGGTTAGCGAACGACGCAAGAATAGACGCAAATGCACAGCGATGGTAAATGTAAAACCAATGATTTTATACTAGCTGGCCATCGAATTAAAACTGAGTTTCACTTTTCTGATTGCAACACCCACGCGTACTCGTGCTGCGTTAAATTGTTTCATCTATTATTAAATGCTTTGCGCAATTGCAGTGGCACGCGAAAGTACCTTCTTTTTAAGATGAAAACTCAAATTTTCAATACAAAAATAGCGTTTTAGTACTAGAATTGTAAACTAGAATTCACTCACGTCTCTCAGTTCGATTAAAAAGAAAAAAGAAAGAAATAAACGAAAAATATTGGAAATTTTCAATACTCTCAATTTAATTAAACAAGGTTCATCTACTTATGATTTACAACAAATAAATGATTGATTCAAAAGTTCGGATAACCAACTCTGTGTATAAAGAAAAAAAAAAAAAAAACAACAAACACAGTTTTTGAAATATAAAGTATTAAAAATCGTACATATTTTTCGAAATTTTCGTACTGATCGTAAGTAAACAAATAACAGACAGAGTTAATCTGCTGGTTCAAGTAGCCGAATTGACTCTCATAGAAATAATCGATCATCACGGGAAGAAAATAAAAAAAAAAAGAAAGAAAGAAAAAAACAATAGTCCAAATTCGACAACAAGGGGATTGTACGTTGGCTGGATTGTTCGACGGGTAAAACACGGGGGCAACAATAGTGTTTTCAGTTTAAACGCGTGACGGTGATTCTGTTGGGAACACGTGCGACGCGGAAATTCACGGAGATGCACGGCAGGAAATGTTCGAACGATGATAAAAGCCGTCTGTTTTACGGCGATTACAGCGGTCAAGAATGCTGTTAACGAGCGTCGCACCGGTATCATGTGATAAAACCACATATTTGGACCGTTCCTGGCCAACCGGAAGGCTAATCCCCTGTGACATTCATCGTTGTTTGTTGTTCCGACGATTGATGCGGGCACGGACGTTCGCCTTTCTAAATTGCGTCTGAAACAATGCATCGCATTCCGCGTTGATTCCCTTATTTTAGTAAAATCCTTTCACATTCAGTGTTGCGCTCGCGATAAGTTTCATGGAAGGCTACCTTTACTTTGCTTGTTGGCACGTTGTTGCAAACATTGCCATTATCATTGGGATTGGATTGTTTGGTAGCTTTAATTTAATGTAACTCCTCGACATGATCCAGTAAAGATGAATATGTGTCGATACTTTTTTTTAATGAAACTAATTTATTTTGCCACATCTCGAACGATTGATGATAATATAACGAGATGTACAACATAATATAGGAACGTGTCTAAGATAGAAACAAAGAAAGAAAATATCCACCCAACCGGGATAAGAAAAAATTGGGACGAGTCAATAAACGAGAGAAAAGAGTTAATTTTAAATAATAATGATTAATCTTCTCATAATACGGAGATATGAGGATAAAAGTCCTAAAAAAGCCCTGTCGTAAAAAGCGACTAAAAGTATAAATTAGATTTTTCTTTTGACGAAGTTTTATGAAACTTGGAATAATACAGTATCTGACGATTAATCTGTGGTTTCGCTATTTTCTCTGCTCTATTATATAATGAAAGTAAGAAACGAGAGTATAAAGTGTATGTAAATTAACTTTGTTTCTTTCTTACGCAAATACTTTAATTACAATTTTGAATACATTAAAATATATTGCAGATAGCACAAAAAGAATCTTCTCATAAAAATTCTACATTTTTTTTCACGGTCGTCGCTAATATTGTTAGAAAAGGTCAACGAACTACGTCTTCATTGACATTTTCTTTTACTAATGCACAAAGTCTTGATTCTAACTAAACAGTAAAATGTTTACTAATTACACAGATTATCATACAGCATTTCTTTACGTTCCCACTACAGAAAATACTTTTCTGCATATACAGATTGACTACAGCAGTAATCTCTCACTTTTTTTTTTTTTTTTTAGACTAACAGTAAAGTCAACGTGAAATAATTTCTATCATGAATCGATGGCAAAATGACTTTCTTCGAATTTTACATATTTGTAAACTGCTACACGAACCGTCCATTACCGGTGTTGATTTTTCCGGCACGCTCGAGGGAAGTACTTTACGAAACATATCGTCTACTATAAATTTTGATCAAAATAAGAATATCGATATGCACTCCGTGGACAATAAAAATTTAAATTCCCCGAAAAATATTCCTTTATCACGTTCCCACGCCTTTCACTTCAATTTCTATGCATTTTTCATAAAGAAGAAACTGCGGAGGAGTTGTAATTCCCTCTGAAAAGTATATACAAATTTTAGCGGGACAGGCTGTATAGAAAATCTATTCTGCCCCTTTTCGAAGAGGAAATGTATCTAAATAAAACGTCGTGGGAACTTTTAGTTTTCGAGTTGTAAAATTGGACTGGAAGTTTAAGAGCTAGATGAAATATTCAAATTAGATAAACGTTTCGATTCGATGATACTCAAGTCTCGTTTAAGATCCATCTTGCACCACTGAATTATTTAATTTGAACTTTGACGCGATCTCTCTACTCTTACACGCGTGAGATGATTCATTTTCATAGTTGTACAATAATAACACGTATTAACATTTCGTTCACGTTTAAGATCATAAAGCATTAGGAATGTATATAAATTCATAAGTAATAACGATTTAATTATTTAATGAGCCGCATGCAGAATGCGTTTTAGTTGGCTAACAATAAACATGTTAATCCTTCAATTATTTGATTTTGTTCTCGCGAACGCGTGCAATCGATAGCCTCGCCTGATAGCTTATTAATTATTCTCACTTTATTATGAAAGCAACGCTGCGAAATAACGCGAAATCGTTTCTCGATTATAATTTTATAACAGGCTATAATTTTCAAATGGAAGAGTGACCAAAGAAATCTGGCAAAATTGACCAAGAAAATTGAACGAGAAAAACGAACAAGATAGATCTCGAAACTTTGGCGTATATTGAATGTTCTTGGTGATATTGACTTTAAACAAGAAACAAAAAAGCGATACAACGTGCAATCTTTTTCAAGTACATAAATATATATAAATAAATATAAATATATATAAATTCTCTGATATATCTCATTACTCAATGACAAATATCGAGACAGACTTGGCGCAATCGAAATTTTACTTTCACTCGGTGAATCGTCGTCTTCGATGAATAACTTTGCACGCGAAGATCTCTCGTTTGCACGCAAAATCTACAAGAGGAAAGGTGAGGGGGAGAAAAAGTATATTGACACTTACGTCAACGTAAATACCGGTGATGTTGAAGACTTTTGTGGCCGGCTCCTCGCTGGGCGTGTAACGATAGAACTCGTGCCTGCCACGGTACCACTTGAGGGAGTAAAGAGGAGCGTTCTCGAGATCGTAATGGCAGCGGAGAATCACCTTCTGACCACGTTGCACCACCTCAGGAACTACTTCTAGGCTGACATTCCGCAGGCAGCTCGCACCTTTGTGGGAAATGAGAACAGGAACGGAGCATTAAGTCTAGTGTGCATCATTAGTCCGCTTTTACTCCTCGCGCCGGAGGTTGCACAGCACGCGTCAGCGAGAAATTGCAATTCCACCGAATGACAATTCCTCTCGCTTCCTCCGTCTAACCCATTCCATCTTCCTCTATCTCCGCCATGCGCGTCTACAACGTACCGTGTACACTCACATACACACATACACACGCGCGCGCGAACACATTCAGAGGCAAGCATACAATTTTTCTTCCCGCTTTCTCTGTCATTCGTCTCTGCTTCTCTCCGTGCTCGTACGTACTTGTACGATCAACGTACGCGGCAAAGTATCTGGACATTTGCAAACACATTTTGCGAACGTTATTCGCGTCATGCGAAACATTTTGAAATTTTATTGGAAATCTCTTGGATAGAATGTCTCTTGGCAATTTTCGTTACGTTGGTAACGTTCGGAACGAATTTGAAAATGTCCACGCCATCGTCCACAAATATTTGACCACTCTCGTTTTTCTTTTTTTTTTTTTTGTGTGTGTGGGTAATATAGTTTTCCATGTAATTTCTATTTCGCTGCGTTTCACGTTTGTTTTTGTTCGAAATATACTACTACGAATAAAAGCATTCCACTTTCACTCGAAATTTCGTTTCGATGCAAAGATTTAATTAAATTATAAATTAAAATTAAATTGGATCGACGAAGCGTCAAAAATACGAACGAGCCGAGGAAATTTCAAAATTTCTACGAAAATTTTCCACGGTAAGCGAGATCAGACAGCGTCAACTGTCTTCCACCCCTTTCTCTCGAACGTGCGCTCGGTCCTTCCCTCTGATTTTTCGCTGACGTTCACTCGGATTATCGACGATTCGACCTATTAAAGCCTCGAGGAATTGAACTGTATACGTCATTCATATTAAAGCAGAATCGAGCTTTGCTGCTTCGCGATGTCTCTGCAGGATGAGACCTCTTATTACGTGCTAGCTTCCGGCTACGCGGAAGTAGGTAGAGACGTCGCTGCCGCGAATAGCGACGAAACTCCGCAGGCTGATTTTACCCCCCCACCCCTCCGGAGAAAAACGCGGAAAACATCCGACTGATATTTTAGCTGGCCGTATTATCTTTTCCACGAAAATCAAGCCCTTGTGTGCTTTTGCCACCGAGAAAAGGGGACGCGACCTACCCAACGGATTAACTCGTATACGTTGTTGCCTCGTCGTGCTTACGTTTGCTCACCTTTGTTTTCTCTATCTCGTGTACGAAATAATGAATTAGTGATCCTTCTCGTGGAAATTAATCTTCTGGTTTTAGAACCGGAAGAATTAATTTTCTGCTTTTAGAGCGTTAATATTCGAAACGATAATTTTCCAACATACTTTTTGTTTTTTTTTTTGAATATTGTATCGAATTTTTTGCTACGATATTCGTATACAACAATTCCATTACAGAATTTAATACTGTATGCACTGTCATGCTTGTTGTGCGAATCACAATATTTGCAGCACATCGAGAACAGAGAGTCGACTTTTAGCGAACTATCTCGCCGAACTTACAACAGTCAATAATTTATGTGAAACGTAAGGGAAGAAATCGAGGAAACTTCCTTCTCGAAAAACTACGAAATAGAAAACTCGCTACTCTCCTTCTGCTGATCACGTGACCAGAATGAAACACTATAGAAGTTGAAATTCCTTTCTGAAAGTACGAGTTTCCCAACGCAAGTAAAATCAACTTTAGCCTAGCCTGGCTATTCTTTTTGTTACCGCTTCTCAGCGCTGAGGAATAATTTTTCTCCAGGTTTTTCGTCCTGTCGATGTACTTCCTACTCGCATACATTTGCTAGTCGTCTCGTAATAGATCAGGTTCGGTTACTTCCTTCGCGATTTCATGAAATGAAATGAAATGGAAATGCTCGCAGCACGTGTGCGATTTGTTTGCCGGTGTTTTAATGTACGATTGCCACTGAGAATTAATGCGAGAATGCACGTTTCGTTGTCTACAGGCTGTCAAGCGTAATTTGAAAATGTTTTATAAAGTGCATTCCCAGTGATCACGGCGGCGTTCAATAAGTGATACATAATGTAAACTGTGCATCGTCGTGAACGTTCTGCGCGATATTTCATCGATTTCGCGTCGCTCGATTGCCTATCGACGAATAAACACCAACAGGCGCGGCAGTGTAGAGATTTCGAGCGTTTTAGCTGCGAAAAACTATGAAAAAGTGTATTCCGTGTGAGATCGCATTAAATCAATGGAAATACCAGCCTTTCATCGTGATTTTGTTTGAATTTTTCCGCCGCCGAAATTCTTTTATGCAGGATCACGTACATATTAGTACGAATGAAATATTCGCGGCTGAATTGATACGAAAACCTGCAATTTTTTACGTAATCCGCGATTGATAAATATTTCATTTTATATTTCTTTTCTTTCTTTTTTTTTTGAAAATTTCATCGAGATCGTCAATTTTTACAAAATTAAAATATGTATAAAGAGAAAGATTAGGGGTAACAGTGATATTGCAAAATACTAAAATTGAATCTTTCGGACGATAAGAAATTAATGTGTAGAGGGAGTTATTGTTCAAATACAACTCTAACTCAGATAGTTGACTGCACTTTTTCGTTGTTAATTACAAACATTTCGTATACGAGCTTGTAAATGCAGTTTTCGACAATTTTAAATTTCATTACGAATTGTGAATCGTCTTTCATAATTTTCTATATTTCCAAAACATTATTGATCGGAATTTTATTCGTCGAAATTTCCACAGTTTCATTAAGGAAAAGAAGGAAAAAAAAAAATGGAAAAATTCGGAAACTTTCTGAAGGAGCAGAGACAGATATATATATATATATATATATATATATATATATATACTTAACGTCTTGTAAAAATTGTTCGACACTTAACGTTCACACACAGTTTCATCGACGTCGGTGTCTGGCGACGTTTGCCGCGGCAAGTACAGGAAAATAAATGAAAATTCTTCGCGCACAAAAGCCAAAAGCTGCAAAGTTGGAGGAGCATTTCCTCCTTTCATTTCGAACTGAAAGGAATTCTGGGAAATGTAGGCAGGTACCTACATGGCGTATGTTGAAAGTTTCTGGCGACTGCTTTTGAGGATTGCGATGTTCTCAATCTTCGTTTGCTTTCTCCTGGCTTCTTTCCCCTTCTTCTCCCTCTTTTTCTTTTCTGCGTTTTCTTTTTCTACTAGTTTACTCGATGCACGGAAAAATATATCGCGTTTCGAAACCGAATTCATTTGCAGGCCACAATGCGAGACGTCACGTAGCAAGATTCTTCGAAACTTTGGTAAAAATAGTTTTCAACTTTTGCGCGACTGATAAATTGATAAATCTAGATACTGTTTCGAGTATTTATTGATTCAGCGATCGACCGTTACACAAAAGAATCTTTCCAATGCAAGTTTTTAATTAAAATATTGTATAACTAATTAGTTTCTTTATTAAAATATTGTATAAATTAGTTTCTTCAAGATAGTTCAACGTAAAATTCATTTCAGGCTGTATTAAATTTATACACCATTGACATTTAATTTTTAGAAATATTTCTGTCATTTAGTGCATACTCTGGTTTTAATATAACGCAATAAATAACTGCGTGTATACTGATATTCTCTTCGCGTTGAGCGCAATGAATTGTGGAAATTGTTAAAAAGAATCGTTCGATTTTTAGTTACGTGCCTATCGTAGGAGAAAATAATAGTGTGGCTTCAAAGGAGAATTGGGTTTCTAAATCAAACAATCACTGAGACATGGTTCGTAGACGTGTATGGTTCTCCTTTAAAATGTCTTGGATATATATATATGTATTACTGTGAGTATAATCTTCCAAAAAATTCCATATTCACTTTGTTTCCAAATACACGGAATATAAAATCAAGAAAGAATCTCTTCTACGTAAGAAAACTAATTGTCTAATAGAACAAAATGTATTTTGAGATTTTTCTCAATTAGATTTTTAATAACGTGATATCGTGAACGGACAGTTCTCTTTTTTTTCAAATTCGATAAACGTTGAACAAATTCAGTCACGGGATTCGCGTTCGTTAATAGCAATTACTGAAAGCACGGTTGTATCTCCCTCTCTCTCCCCCCCTCTCTCTCTCTCTCTCTCTCTCTCGTTGTCGGTGTTTTCCTAACGGACGAACACTTCTATTTACCATTTCATTCTGATATTTCCCGCGAGCGGTGCACCTGCAAACGCGCACTAAGCAAACGAAGCTTCAATTCCTGACCGCGAAAGACCACGATCAGAATTGCAGAATCCAGTTAGCTCTTTGTCCACGTGCTCTTTTTTCCCCTCCCCTTCTTCACTGAATTGCAAACAACTCTTGTTCGTCGAGTTAATGCTGTTTAACATAACTAACATAAAACGGAGTGTTTGCTGGGTTTGATGTCTTTTTTTATGCAAATTATCTACGAGTATCAGCCTTATTCGACAAAAGCCCGTGAACAGCGAGACGATGGAAAATATCTATTAAAAGAGATTTTTATAGAAGGCATTTTATATAAGGCATCCTTTTTGATAAAAATATGCACGTAATTCTTCAGTTGGTATGACTTGGATTTCCTCTTGATTTTCTTAGAAACGAACTCTCGCTCAGGACAATTTCGTTCTTCGCTTTTTGCTTTATTCTTTTATTCTTTTGGATATTTGAAGGATTCAGTGCGTGAAGGAACTTTCTCACAATCGTAGCATTGTGGGATATTAAGATTTTCACGAAAAGCACTATTGTACTAGAATTTTAATTAAGGGATAACAACTCGATATCAAAAAATGCCGGATTTAATAAAAAGATTTCATTTTTCACTTGGATTACTCAATTATACAGAACAGTCTACGCATTTTATTAATTCTCATCGCGTAAAAATTCGCGTTCAATAGAAATCCTCAACAACTCAATTAAACTTCAATTATTTCTTAGAATTGCCGACACAAATGCTTCCATTATACTTCACTTGCCAGT